ATCGTCTGTCCTTTCTTCCCCTTGACCTCACCCCACACACACCATAAGGGGATAAGGACTTGACCAAAATGAATCATCCAGAAAGAGCAATCCCATTCTCTATCTTTTCAGATCTGGAACCTCTAAAATCATTGGAGTGCTTTGAGATTGTGCTTAGGCATACTGAGATACAGTTCAGATCAGTCAACCTCAGGCCAGTCTAAGCCCACCCTAGAAGGAAATCACCTGCAATTTGGTCTTCTCCATGCCTCCAATCTGACCTCCATCTTCTACAAAGTGAGCCTGATGCCCAGGAAGTATACAAGTCTAAGATATTTGGCTTTTTTTTTTTTTTGAGAGTGGAACATTTAGAAGAAATAAAAGAAAACTAAGTAAAAAACATTTCATCTAAGCTCTCATCTGACTAATTTTAAAGCACTGTCAACAAAGCAAGCAAATCAATAGCCAAGCATACATCTGCCAATGGGATCCCTGAAGTCAGAAGAGAGAGAAGGAAAAGAAGAAGGAAGAGGAAGGAAAATCCAGGAAGTAAATGGGGAGAAAGAGAGGGTTTGTAGCTCATTTTCTTTAGAGTTGCAAGAATCCGTAGGTTTGAAGCTAGCAAACCCAAGTTTGCACCAAAACATGAAATTGGTATTACCCCACCACTTTGGAGAAATTGTGGCTTTGCTCCTAAGGGCAAGGTCCTTCTACAAAGGCCCAAGGAACTTGTTGTGTCAAGCTTTGCAGTCTTTCTGATCAAGTCCTACATCTCCAATCTCAATTCCTGCTAGGAGGCCCTGGAGTGACTTGCCTCAGCTAGGCTCTGTGTTGATATGTATGTACAAACAAATCTGTTTATCTCTAGGTCTCAGAGGATCACTGAACCACCTTGGGATAAAAAGCTGTTGAGTTAGAGTGGAGTCTCAGCTGGCTGGTTTTTACAAAAGCTGCCTTTCATAAGAAGCTGGAGCATCAGGAAAAACTCTTTAAGATGTTCAGAAACTCCAGTTAATTGTGTTCTTCAGAAAACTGCAGTTTGGTTAAAACAATACAGTACAACTAAATATTTTTATGAATAAGTATTTTTTCTTTTCCCATAGCTGAGAACCTTTTCCCTCCACTGCTTTTTTCCTTACAAAATACGTTTAAGCAAATGTTCCTGTTTTTAGGACTTTAATTTTAAATATGGTGTCCATGCATCTGCGAAGTACAGGTAAGTATTGGAAAATAAAGCATCATGCACATTCGTAAAACATAGTATTATATTGCTGTAGTCAAATATGAACTTCAAAGTGTCAGTGCTGATGTGAGGCCTAAGTCACTATCCTGCCTCTGGATACCTTTGTCATTAAGTACAGTACAAATGATTTTTACCAGAGCTTAATTTTCAAAAAATCTAGGCACTTTGAGTAGAGAGCCAGAAGAATGACAGAAAAAGAAAAGCTTGAAAAAATGGATCTGTTCCTGGCACATGGAGGTTGGTTCAATCCCAGGAGTCTTACTACCTACATGATTTGACCCCTAGACTTTGTTTCCCAACCCCCCATCATCTTCAACATCCTGCCCCATTAGGTTTCCCCCCCAAAAAAACCAATAAAACATGTTAGGAAATTGGAAGAGTTCCAGGACATGGAGCTACACTCTAATTCATAAAAACAAAATAAACAAAAATATTTAGTTTTTGCCATCTCCTCAATATAGTTTAGCTTTCTAGGTATCTCCAAATACATTCTTTAATTGAAAGAGAAGCTTGTGTGAAATTTGTAGATGCAATCACTGTTTTAAATTGTTAAAAATTTAAAATACAAAGGTGTTTCTATGTGTACATTTTTATTTTGTAGGGATTTCTAAAATTTAGTTTTTGTTTCTTTAAAAAAAAACAACCATCATAATGAAAGGGTGTGCTCAATATTTTCTCTTAAATGTATAATAAACATCCACAATCTATTGGCAGTTAAATAGTTTTAACTCACAGGCACATATATTTGGACCCTTGTGTGAAATCCTCTAGAATATTCTGTTTTGCCATAAATGGTTATGTAAGCAGATAGTTTTCTGGATGAAAAAATGATGTCTAAGCCAAAATGGATTTCACAGTATATATGCCCAAATCTAATTAGCTGAAGAAAATATTAAACCAAGATGTGCAGAAATAATTTTAGGGGAAAAGTCTCACTTATAAGGTTTATTTTCCTTTGTTTCCAAAAAATGTGATGTCATATCCCAGTATATGCAAAAAGACATCAGGGATGTTTAAATGCAGTGCATTTAAACCTAGTGAAAATTTCTTATTAAAAATTGCTTTTGGTGTGCTCATAAAGTATTTAAATTAAAAAAAATCAAATAAACACATATCATGTGAGGTTCTAGTTTGCTAAATATAACTTTGAATCTCTAGTGAGCTGGAAGTTTATAAATAAATAAGTACCAGGCTGAGTCACTCCATAGAAGTCTTAGATCTATGCAACTAACCAGAATTCTCTGGCAACTGGACAAATCATAGGGGGCAAGCAAAATTTCTACTAATTCTCTTTTACCTTCTTTCTATCATGAAAGACAACATTGATTTATTTTTAGATAAAAGAGGAAGTAGTATGTAGTAAGACAACATTCAGTAGACTTACATTTTTACTTCATGATAACCTATTGATACTTTATTTTGTCAGATCATATTGATGTAAGTTTGAACTGAATTTGACAAATTCTGTCAAGATGGAAAGAAAGTATGAATTACATGCATCTGTCAGGAAGAAAAATAAATGCAAAAATTGAAATATGTTTTCAAGTAAATTCACCAGATTGAATATACTTTTTATTTTATAGCTATACACTTTGCCATCTGACCTTCATTTGGATAAAGATACACAAGTTTTTTCAAGATTGTTGTTTCCTTTTATAGATGAGATTTATTTAAATGTCATTTTTTTAAAAAGAAAAAAGAGTCCAGGTGGCAATTTTTAAGGCCAAAAAATATATTTCCTGTATACAGATGACTTAGATACCTATGAAGTAATTTTTATGATGTGCTAAATCTGTCATGTAACTTTTAGGTTTTTGTTACAGATGTACATATTTTCAAATTTTAAAAATGAAACAGTATGTGTAGAATGAATGTACTTGGGAATAACAATGATTTCATAAAGATGTATCAAAATTTAATAGATATTTCTTCCATTGTAAATATCAACAAATAACATTTCTCTATTTTAAAAATTTACTGAGCATAATGTTCACGTATTATTCTTTTCTCCTTTGACAAATGCAGAACCTTGTCTAATTTCCATACAAATTCACTGATATCTTTAAGGGAATGTCATTACAATGCTCTTTACTTAATTTCTTAGAAAAAGAAAGGAAAGAAGAAAAAGATAAGTGTTTGGAGTCCATAAATGTAGTTAAAATGATGTGCTATGTAGTTATATATAGACACATTCAGTGTATTATATATTATGATTAAACATTTTCTCTACTATTTGTTTATTCAGTAGGACTCAGTCAGAAGATAATCTGTGAAAGATTAGTCCTATTTAGTACATACCTTCAGTTTACAAATATAAATACATATACAAATGGAATATTGCCTCTTCAAGAAAATTAGGAAGTCAATCAAAATATCAAAAGGAAAAATATGACATAGACTTGCCATGTCCCACAAACAGTGGAGCTTTCTATAGCAAATATATTTTAAAGAATAGTCTTTTTAAAACAGTGCATTTTAGGTGACACACTGTTGTGTAGTAAATAGTCGCCTACTGGTTTTCTGAATAATCTTATTTGCTTTTGGGGGAAACAATCTATAAAAGAATTATTCATTGTTCCTATGCATAAATTTTTAAAGTAATTCACCACATTTGGGCAAATTATTTTCAAAGTATATACAGAAAGAAAAGAATACTAAACTTTCTCCTGCCTACATGTGAGAGCTTGTCAGCATTCAACTCCAAGGCCTTTAATCCTAGGCTTTAAATAATTCAGATAACAGTTGATTACTCCATTGCAAGAAGTGTTGAGCTCTGCAAAATCTGTGTAACACAATATTTTCTACATAAAAAAAGCCAATCTCAAATAGTAGGCATCTAAGTAAAACACACTTCTTGAGACCAAACCATGCAACCTATTTTTGTATTTCTGCAGACATTCTGGCAAATACCAATGTAGTTTACTACCAAGTAATTCTGCATGCTTGCTTTCATTACCAAACCATCTAGTTCTACAGCTTAATTTTCTGAACTTGCAATCCCTTATCCATACATTTTCTGGGCGTAAAACCTCCTTTGAATTATAACAAGTGAAATGGTTAGTTATGTTACTTAGTAATCCAAAAGTGCACATAAACGAAATTTTAAACTTAAAAGAATACTGCTCTGACATTCACATCTATTTCTTTAGAAAAATAATTGTTTTATGTCTTTTGACAACCAAGATTCAATATCTACTGCCTCCGTTCTACTTGTAAACATCAGCCATTACAAAAGAGCTTTGCTCACTTGGCTAAATTACAACCCGAGTAATATGAAACAGACAGAAAAAAAAATAACAAGAAACATTGGCTTCCAATCTCAAATCAAAAAGTGACAAAATTTTGCCATCAAAAATGTCTAGCTGAGTTCTAAATGGATTAAGTTCATCCATAAAGCTGATGTATGTAGCACTTTTCTTTGATATATATGAGTGTCCATATATGTCTGAGCATGTGTTCATAATTATCATGTAACCAGATAAATGAAAGGCACACAGCCAGGTTACAAACATCAAATAAGCTCTGTTAAAATTATCAAAGTTGAGCAAAGAACCCACTGACTTTAGTGGAATATTTTGAACCATTTTCTTCCCTAAACAAAAAATCACATTCTTTCCCTTCAATCCTTGTCTAAGCATAGGAATAATCTATTCCTCTTCACTCTAGCAAGCAAGTTTAGTCTTTTGATAATATCCAGCCTGAAACATCATGAAGTAGAAAAATCTAAAGATTGCATTCAGTATCACCAATAAGTACCACGTTTGACTACTGCTCATACCATTTGGAAACCAGTCCTCACATGACGACTGGCCTGACACCTCATCCATCAGCAGGGTGCCCAGAGCAGAGTGGACAGTCTTCTTTGCGCCATCTCCAGAGTGGAGGCCCAGCTGAGAAACAGGCTTCTCTTCCAATAGCAATTAGATCTTTAAGATCAGGCTTTAGCAATTTGACCTAAAGCCATCCTTCCTCGAAACAAAGTCTCCAACATCTTCAGAGGGAGAGACGGGGGAGTCAGGCAAATGAGGAGAAATCCAGGTCTCCGTGGCCTGATTAAAAACTTTGTTGTGTCAAATAAACTTTGGCCACTGGAGGAAAGTACCCTATGGTTGCTCTGGCTTTAGAAAGATCTGTCCAGGGCTTCTCAATCTTCTTTTCACCCCAATCTCTCCTTCTCCCTCTCTCTCTCTCTCTCTCTTTCTCTCTCTCTCTCTCTCCCCTCTTCTCTTGTTTCAAAGGGGGCCTCTGGTCAGCGCTGATTAATAAGTGTTTTTTGTTGTGAAGTGTTGAATAATAGAGGATGGCCGGTGACCCAGTAAAGACTAAACCTTGCGCTGGTTTATTGTGGCAAGCTGAGAAAGGGGCTTTAGGCCCGGGACCCCAAGCACTGACCCGCACACATCCCGCGGATAGCCTATTCATTCTCACAGCCCTACAGTCGCCCAGGCTCCCATTGTTTGCCAAGTAACAATGGAGATTTCGCAGGGAAAGTAAAGCTCTTTTCAGATTCCACTCTGATGTTTTGCATTTAGGGAAACACAGACCTCCACTTCCCCCCCACCCCCCGACATTTTCCCTCACGGCAGCTAAAGCGGTCGGTTTTCGGGGGAAACTTGTGTGAGTTTGGCGCTTGTTCGCGGAACATCAGTATTAGGCAGAGGCAAGACCGGTGGAAAAAGGAGAGCCCCAGAGACTTCTTTTATTTTTTATTTTTTTTTTCTTTCTTTTCTTTTTCTTTTAATGCATTTAGAGGACGGAAGCTGCCTGGGAGAGGGAGGGAGAAGGGGGAGGGGGAAAAGAAAAAGAAAAGAAAAAGGTTTTCCTCGCCGCGTTTGCCGGAGCGGCGGGGGCTTCGCGGCAGACCAGAGAGAAGACCGGCCCGCAGCTCCGCCAGGCCGGCGGGGGAAGTGGCGGGTCTGCCTCGGCCCCGGGAGTGCAAAGCTTGCCGTCGCTTCTAGTTCCCTTTCAGTTTGCCTTCCCCGCGACATTCTTTGATCCTCGGCTGCCTGAAAACCCCAGGCGGCCCCGCAGGCTCCTGCGCCTCTGCCCCGGCGCGATCCCAGGCGGACACCACCTTGCGGGGTAGCGGCGGGCAGGGGTGGAGGCTGGAGTGAGTGTTGAGGCCCCGCAGGCCCAGGCCGCCTCGTCTCCTTGACTTTCTTCTCCTTTGCTTTCTTGCACCTGGACAGGGGCAGGCTTTCTAGTTTCTATCGTGGCCCGGGGAGACAGCTCCTGCAGGGCTGGCTGGGGCGGTGGGTGGCGGGTAGGGGCTGGTGGACCAGGAGAGATGGAGCAGAGATTTGGCCTGGCCTGCTCCGGCCTGGGCCGCTCCAGCTGCCTCGCTTTGTGGGCCCCTGGGCAGGCAATCGGTGGCACCTCGCCCCAGGACTAGGCGAGCAGAAGCGCAGTCCCAAAGGACACGGTTGCCTTGAATCTGTGGGCCTCGGCTTCCCCCAACCCTCGCCAGCGGCCCGATGCGTGCAAATAAGGGTCGCCAGTTTAGTGGATCTGGCGTAAAGGCCGGAGGAGGGTGGGGAGTTGGCTGCGCCCTATTGCCAAAGCTGTGGAAAGTCCTCTGGGGATTTGCGCTCCCTGGGTAGGCGAGGGGGGCGGATTTGCCCGGCCCAGGTCGTGGGTGCTGGGAGGGAGCGCCGCTTGGAGCTGCCTGAGGCAGTACTCCACCTGCAGGCCTGGTCCACGCCCTAGCGCCAGCCGTGACCCGCGGGGCTTCGGCTCGGTGCGCTTCCACCTTCCCTGGCGCGGGGCTAGAGCTAAGGAGCTACGCAAGGCCCAGCGGCCTGGTGGGCGGCTGGAAGCGCTCTTAGCGTTTACCCGCAGGATCCGGGCCGGCCGACCAGTGCTTTCCTGCCGCGCCTTGACAGCACTTGGGGCTGGGAGAGGAAGAAGAGCAGGAGGAAGGGCACAAAGTAGCGGAGGAGGCGGGCGGCGAACCAAGGGCAGAGCAGGGGGAGGAGGGCTCATTGTCCGGTCCCCCCAGTCCAATTGATATGCTAATTTCTTTTCTGATACCATACAAAGAACACCTTTGCACTTTTAAAAGACTTTTGTGCCCTGGCTACAGAAGTTTATTATCCACTAATTAGCAACAACTTCTGGCAATGAGTTGGGTTACATTTTCATAAGCTCCTAGCCTTGGTGACGAGGTGTGCTGGGCAGTAGGAGGTTTCGCGCGCTGGGCAAACCCCCTAACCTGGGGTAGGAAAGCAGTCGCTAGCTCAGGTTCCTGGGCCGAAGGTAGGAGGCTGGGAATCAAGAGATAAGGTGTCCAGAGGAATGCTCTGACGGAGGACCTTCTTGGATCCGACTCTGTGGTTCCCTATCTGGAAAGCTGCGTGGAGGCGGTGGCCACGGGAGGTTTTGCCATTCTGGGGAGGAGGGTGGGAATGGGGAGCGAAAGTCTTAGTGGAATATTCTAGCGCTAACCTCTAATCTCTCGCTTTTTTTCTTTTGTCGCCTCGACTCAGAAAAAAAAACATGGGCAAAGGAGCGGCCCATTCATAGGAAACCATGCCCGTAGATTGGATTCCCTCCTAAGGCCTCCCCAACTAAGGCTGCAAGGCTGAAATCCAGGGCTCGGGAAGACGACGCAAACTGGCATTGCCAGACTCGGGGAGGGGGGAAAGGATGCTGGGTAAGTGCCCACCCAGGGTGGTCTGAAGTCATCACCCCACGGAGCAGATTCTGCTGGCTACCCAGAGTAGAAAGCTGAGCCTTCCCGGCGGCGGACGTAGTGCGCACCGCGTGACCTTGCCTCCCTGAGGCTTGGCAAGTCGTTGACGATCTTTAACAGTCCCACATCCCAGGTCAATAAACTGGAAACGGATAGAATTGAGCATCACGCTGAAAGATAAAGGGCAAGGGAATCAAGCGCATTCCTTCTTGTGCCTCCAAAAGAAAAATCCCGGTTGTCTCTCATCTCCCATAAAACACCCGAACACAGCAGTGAGGCCTTCGGTTTGGGCTCAATCGCAGAAATATTTTGTCTTAGAATATTCGAGCCCCCAAACACAGCACCTTGGAACTGTATTACACGTATGTACACAGACACAAGTGTATTCTTCCAATTTTTAAATTCCTCTACCATTTCCGGTTTTCTGGGGTGAGGGTTGTCTGTTTTGTTTTGTTGAGAAAGACCCCGTTAGAGTTATTGTTGGATATTTCTAGCAAATGTCAGAAACATGCTGGTGGCCTGTGCGTTCTCCTCCGGTAGCAACTACAGCTGAGTACGGCTTAATATAAATTCAACGTGAAGCATGGCCTTACTCAAAACCCTAGGGTTATTTGGGGGATCAGGGCACATGCTCAGGTGGGAAGTGGTGAATTATATTGTTTCACTCCCTTTCTATGGAAATAAATGCAATTATCTGCAGTCCTAACCTCTCCGGTATCCAAATGCAATGTTTCTGAACGAGCGCTTTTAGACCTAGAGAAATGGGATAGGTGGGAGCCGACTGTCGACCTCACGGAACATTGCTGAAGAGAATGCAGAGATAACCGAAATGTTAGTGATATTGGATCCCATGATCTCCCAGACAAGAATCTCTGAATCTAGAAAATACCCCCAAATGTCTCCCTTAGCAGTGGCCTTGGGTGGGGTGAGGAAGGAGGTGGGTGGTGTGTGTGTGAAGAAGAGAAGGTCTCTCTGTGGTCACCCTCGGCCCTCTTCATTGAAGAAGAACAATGGCCCGGCCTGGGGTTCTTTCTGAAAGAGAAACTGCGGGAAGGCAGAGTTGCTCTTTGTGCCCCAGCCCATTTAGAGGAGGGGGAGCATACACAAGCCCCACCACCACTACCACTGGGCGGTGTCTGCGAGATCAGGACCCCTCAAAGCCTCGGTGAGAGCTAGAAAGGCGCGGGGCCTTGTTGTCCCATAAGGCCCACTCACTTGCCGGAAGAAACCCTGAGCAAAACCGAGAGATCTCAGAATTCGCCAGGGGCTGAGAAAGACGCTGAAAAACACGCTTTCACATGGCCTGTCAGTCCCTCCACCCCACCATCCCAACCTCTGATCACAGTTGATTCTGCTTACGTGTGTATTTCAGATTAAGGACGTATATATTTATTTATTTAATCCTTCAGATCTTCCCATACCACTAAAAA